TTACAGGTTGCATCTCAAAAGTGAATGCTATTTCCATAGCCTCAGCCTTGTATTTTCACCAGCAAAATATGCAATTTTAGTCTTTAGTGAGTAACAGGATCCACTCCTATTTACTTATGCTGGCTAATTGTTGATGCTCATGTAATGTATGGCTGATGTCAGACAGGCGATTCTGCTGCTAGAGACAAAATGCCCTATGGAATTTCTCCCTCTGTATCCAGGTGTAGCAAGATGTTGCTGGTCCAAACACTGCTGAATCTTGATCGTTAGCGATGGGAATGACTTTATACTGTCTCAGCTACAGAGGAAGCGATTCTGTAGTGACAAATTCTTGCTTAGTGACTGAAATCGCCAGAGGTGGGATTGTTAGCAGCAGAGTCACCCATCTGACATCAGGCTAGCTGGGCATACACTAGTGGATTTTTGTTAAAAACGTTTTTATTTCTAAGAAAATGTATTCTGTTTTCTAATTGTGGGGTCAAAGTTGACTGCTGTGACAAGGAATTTGTTTTTTCTAAACAAGCAAATTTCTAACAGTTCTTGAAAAGTTCAAAAGTCCTCCAAGTGTCACATTCATCAATCAGAGGCTATCACAGTGATCAGGTGACCCAGAATTGGGAGTTCAGGGGCTGATCATTACCACGGGACCCTGGGCTCTTTGTCAGACTCCGGTCTCTGTGCTGGGAGCACGCCGCATGACGCACTCCCAGCACAGAGAGCATACTGTCAGAGGGAAGGGGTTAATGAATATCAAATCTCAGTGCACCAAAGTGTATGTGTCACAATCCCTTAGCAGCTGAGAACCTCCAGCACCCCAGCGGTGTACAAGATATATCCCAGAACAGAGCTTGAAAAGTCCCAAAGTCCTCCAAGTGTCACCTTCGTGTCCAAATAAAGTGCATTCGTTCAATCACCGTCTCCTTTAAATTCACAATAGAAATTTCTCTCCCAGATATCCAGTCTCAAAAATAAAAAAAAAAAAAACTATACTGTGCAATACACATTTACTCCATAGGTGTAATAAACTATTCAAAAATTGTGGTCCGATTTAAAAACGTATGTGTAGACTTCCACACTCCACACTCATCCTCTGCAATACAATATTCGTTCGGGGGGGGGGAGTTGAATCCTCACTTATTATTTCAGGTGGATATCCAGAACCCCAAAAAATAAATCAGAGTCAATAGTACAACCCTGTAATGCACACTAAAATAAATAAATAACATTTTCTACTACTCACATCAAGTGAGCTTTCAATGTGTTTGTCCCTTTAAAATCCATCATGTAAAATGTACTGAATCCAGCCACTCCATCCACCTCTCTTTTCAGAGAGAAAAAAAAAAGTGTGTATAAAAAAAAGAAATAATAATAATTATATTAAAAATAAAAATAAATACCAAGATCAAGGTTTGATCTTGGTCAGTGCTAGGTCAGGGTTTGGTCAGGATTTTTTTTTTTACTTTTTAATTAGTATCAATGTCAATTAGTGTCAGTGTCAATGTATTTTAGGCTGGCTAAAAAGCAAAACGCACGCTATTGTTTCGGGGCCGTACTATGGGTACAAGGAACAACTAACATACACATATGTGGTATTGCTGCAATCGTCAGGAGCAGGAGAATTTATTTTGGGTTGTTTTTTGGTGGTACGTTATGGTAGTAGCAAGAAATATACAGTTAAGCATTTTACTATTTTGTGCCAGTTTTCCTTTGATAAAATAAAATCAGGAGATATCCATTACCAGTCATCACCAAATGAAAGCCAAATTTGTTCTGAAAAGAAAACAAGGTATAATCCACCTGGATGTACAAAGTAGTTGTGATGATATGTACGGTTTTACTAACACATGTCAAAGTTGCAAAATTATGCTTAGGCTTTAAGAACTGTAAGGTACGAAGGGGTTTAATTTCTAACAGTGTATGTTGTTTTTGTTTCAAAATTGAACATTTGTCAAGCTGTCAAATCAGGCACTGAATTTTTTTTTTTACAACTGCACCGTACCAAACTTCATGGTATTGTGGTACTATGCATTTTGGGGGCTGTAAACACACCCACGCTTGCTAGATGCAGGAGGGTGCCATTAAGAATTAATGGTACCAGCCCGCGTCTTCAGAGGACAGTGCATTTTCATGCACCATCGTGTTTTGAACCAGCCCTTAGGCTTCATGCACATGGACACTTAGCAGTTCCTGTGTTCTGAGGCATAAAATGCCCAGCACTTTCTAGGGAGAAGTGGCGCATAGGAGAAGAAGCACAGCACAAGCAAGTTGGGGGGTAAACATCAACGCAGAAACCATCAATGTTTACCTGAGCACTACCACACACAGCCATTCACTTATATGCTATGATTATACATTTTGCTATTGTTATTATTATAATTATTACTATTATTATAAATGTTGCTATAAATAATAGCAACAATAATAACAATAATAAAAATAATATAAATGCGGCTATTTTTTTTATTAATATTATTATTGTTATATTATTATTAATAATAATAATAATAATAATAATAAGTATTATTATTATTGATAAGAATAATATTGTATATATATATATATATATTTATATATATATACATATATATATATATATATATATACGCAATTATTATTATTATTATTATTAATAATAATATTTTTTTCATCATCATTGTTAGTATGCAGTTACTTGCTTAGAATTACTATTACTAAAACTATTTACTAATTAAAAAATGTATGTACTCAACATATTTAGAGTACACTTCTGGTGTGCACAGAATACAGGCATATATGGATGAAACCAACCAACAAAATGGCATTACAACCAACAAAGTGGCTGTATGTGGTATGTGCAGCTCCTCGGGGGCCAGGTATTTTACACCCCAGCACACAAGAGCTGCTTATCATCCATGTGCCTGAGGCCTTAAACAATTGTAGCACTCAACCAAGACAGGTATTAGTGTCATTCTTAGAACAACTGTATAAATTGTAAATTGTAATTCTGCCCACAAATGATTGATCATAACTGTTTTCAAGTGGTAATAAACCCAAAAGCAAAACATATGATGTAGTCATGTGATTATATGACACAATGGGGTTTATTTACTAAAGCTGGAGAGTGCAAAATCAGACTCCCTTCTGCATAGAAACCAATCAGCTTCCGGGTTTCATTGCCAAAGCTTCATTGAACAAGCTGAGGTTAGAAGCTGATTTTGGTTTCTATACACCCCAATGTGTTGGAAAGAGCCTGTGAAATCACACTGCAAAAAACAGAAGTGGACAGTCGGCCATTTTGTTGTTTGGTTTCATCCATATATACCTGTATTCTGTGCACACCAGAAGTGTGCTCTAAAAAAGTTGAGTACATACACCTTTTAATTAGTAAATAGTGTTATTAATAGTAATTCTAAGCAAGTAACTGCATACTATCAATGATGATGAAAAATATAATACATTAATAATAACAACAATAATAATAATAATAAAAATAATAGCAGCATTTATATTATTATTATTTGCTGCTATTATTATTAGCAACATTTATCATAATATTAATAATAATAACAATAACAAAATGTATAATAATCATAGCAACATGTAGAATAATAATATTCCAAGCAAGTAACTGCATAATAATCATGATGATGAAAAGAATAATAATAATAAGAGCAGCATTTATATTAATATTATTATTACTCTTAATGCTGCTATTATTATTAGCAACCTTTATCATGATAATAATTATAATAGCAAAATGTATAATAATCATAGCAACATGTATAATAATAATAATCATAATAATAATATTCTAAGCAAGTAAATGCATAATAATGATGATGGTGATGAAAATAATAATAATAATAATAACAGCATTTTATAATATTATTATTATAAATGCTGCTATTATTATTAGCAACAATGTTCCATAATAGTAATAATAATAAAAGCAAAATGTAGAATAATAATAATAATAATATTAGCAACATTTATAATAATTATAATCATAGCAACGTTTATAACAATAATCATAATAATAGCACAATAGCACAATTTCTAACAACACAATAATAATAATAACAGCAAGAATAATAATAGTAATATTATTAATAAATAATAACATGAAGGTGATGATGATTATTGTTGTCATTAATATTATTACTAATTTTGAGAATACACAAAATTACAAATTCTTAGGTGATATTAAAGCCACTTTTGTTGTAAAATGAGATGTTTATAACAGGCCTGACATTCTTTTTCTTTTTTTTTTCCCTTTTCCTCCTCTGCTGTTACCCATGTTGAAGTCAAGCTTACATTCAGCCACTCCCTGTGAACCACACAGGCAGTGCGAGATACAGTGATTCCATAGATCCGGGCAAGCACAGGGGCCACCCACATACCAGCACAGCCGGCAGGTAGCATGAAGAGCAAGCACAGAGGAGACACATTTTTAAACATAAGAAAAAGACTGTCAGCCCTGCTATCACCATCTATCTCTTTCTTAAAAAAAAGAAGAAGAAAACCCCTGGCTTTGATATCAGTGTGAGAAAGTAGATTGCAGATACTTCTCCCATAGAACTCACAGCCTGGCAGCCACTGCAGGGATAACGGCGCTGGAGGGGATGTTGCAGTCCATGTTCCTGCCCACTGTCCCCTGCTGGTGAATGTTGTATGTGCTGTCATAGCAACCATGGGGGCGGAGTCCCGTGTACACTGAAATAAGAGGGGTGTGTCGCCCTCTTGTTATCAGTCATATCACATATAATAGACATCAATGATATTAGACTTCACACAGAAATAATATAATCATAGTCTGTTGTAAAGATTCCCTGATCTGTATTTGGTCATAGGGCTACAACAAAATGGCTCCTGTGTTGAAGACATGGTTAGTAACACATTGTCTCTAGAATAGGCAGAGCAGCGTCAGTGGTGTCCTGGTGACAGGCTCATAATGGTGATGTCAGCGGAGGGCGACAAGTCATGACTGACAGCTATTGGCAGGGGGAAGGTCGTGCTCGGAGATGGACAGAGGTGTAGGGCTCCGGATCAGACAGCTGTGCTCCGGCCTGCAGAGGAGAGCAGGTACAGGTCAGAGTGTGATGGAACCCTCCAGAGGAGAGCAGGTACAGGTCAGAGTGTGCTGTGTGATGGAACCCTTCAGAGGAGAGCAAGTACAGGTCATAGTGTGCTGTGTGATGGAACCCTTCAGAGGAGAGCAGGTGCAGGTCAGAGTGTGATGGAACCCTCCAGAGGAGAGCAGGTGCAGGTCAAAGTGCGCTGTGTGATGGAACCCTCCAGAGGAGAGCAGGTACAGGTCATAGTGTGCTGTGTGATGGAACCCTCCAGAGGAGAGCAGGTGCATGTCATAGTGTGATGTGTGACGGAACCCTCAGAGGAGAGCAGGTACAGGTCATAGTGTGATGTGTGACGGAACCCTCAGAGGAGAGCAGGTACAGGTCATAGTGTGCTGTGTGACGGAACCCTCCAGAGGAGAGCAGGTACAGGTCATAGTGTGCTGTGTGACGGAACCCTCCAGAGGAGAGCAGGTACAGGTCATAGTGTGCTGTGTGACGGAACCCTCCAGAGGAGAACAGGTGCAGGTCAGAGTGTGATGTGTGACGGAACCCTCCAGAGGAGAGCAGGTGCATGTCATAGTGTGCTGTGTGACGGAAAGCAGGTGCAGGTCAGAGTGTGATGTGTGACGGAACCCTCCAGAGGAAAGCAGGTGCAGGTCAGAGTGTGATGTGTGACGGAACCCTCCAGAAGAGAGGAGGTACTGGTCATAGTGTGCTGTGTGACGGAACCCTCCAGAGGAGAGCAGGTACAGGTCATAGTGTGCTGTGTGACGGAACCCTCCAGAGGAGAGCAGGTACAGGTCATAGTGTGCTGTGTGATGGAACCCTCCAGAGGAGAGCAGGTACAGGTCAGAGTGTGATGTGTGACGGAACCCTCCAGAGGAAAGCAGGTGCAGGTCAGAGTGTGATGTGTGACGGAACCCTCCAGAAGAGAGCAGGTACTGGTCATAGTGTGCTGTGTGACGGAACCCTCCAGAGGAGAGCAGGTACAGGTCATAGTGTGCTGTGTGACGGAACCCTCCAGAGGAAAGCAGGTGCAGGTCAGAGTGTGATGTGTGACGGAACCCTCCAGAAGAGAGCAGGTACTGGTCATAGTGTGCTGTGTGACGGAACCCTCCAGAGGAGAGCAGGTACAGGTCATAGTGTGCTGTGTGACGGAACCCTCCAGAGGAGAGCAGGTACAGGTCATAGTGTGCTGTGTGACGGAACCCTCCAGAGGAGAGCAGGTACCGGTCATAGTGTGCTGTGTGACGGAACCCTCCAGAGGAGAGCAGGTACAGGTCAGAGTGTGATGTGTGACGGAACCCTCCAGAGGAGAGCAGGTACAGGTCATAGTGTGCTGTGTGACGGAACCCTCCAGAGGAGAGCAGGTGCATGTCATAGTGTGCTGTGTGACGGAACCCTCCAGAGGAGAGCAGGTGCATGTCAGAGTGTGATGTGTGACGGAACCCTCCAGAGGAAAGCAGGTGCAGGTCAGAGTGTGATGTGTGACGGAACCCTCCAGAAGAGAGCAGGTACTGGTCATAGTGTGCTGTGTGATGGAACCCTCCAGAGGAGAGCAGGTGCATGTCATAGTGTGCTGTGTGACGGAACCCTCCAGAGGAAAGCAGGTGCAGGTCAGAGTGTGATGTGTGATGGAACCCTCCAGAGGAGAGCAGGTGCAGGTCATAGTGTGATGTGTGATGGAACCCTCCAGAGGAGAGCGGGTACAGGTCAGAGTGTGATGTGTGACGGAACCCTCCAGAGGAGAGCAGGTGCAGGTCAGAGTGTGATGTGTGATGGAACCCTCCAGAGGAGAGCGGGTACAGGTCAGAGTGTGATGTGTGACGGAACCCTCCAGAGGAGAGCAGGTACAGGTCATAGTGTGATGTGTGATGGAACCCTCCAGAAAAGAGCAGGTACAGGTCATAGTGTGCTCTGTGATGGAACCCTCCGGAGGAGAGCAAGCACAGGTTATAGTGTGATGGAACCCTCCAGAGGAGAGAAGTATAGGTCATAATGTGATGTGTTATGGAACCCTCCAGAAAAGAGCAGATACAGGTCATAGTGTGCTCTGTGATGGAACCCTCCGGAGGAGAGTAGGTACAGGTTATAGTGTGATGTATGATGGAACCCTCCAGAGGAGAGCAGGTACAGGTCGTAGTGTGATGGAACCCTCCAGAGGAGAGCAGGTACAGGTCATAGTGTGATGTATGATGGAACCCTCCAGAGGAGAGCAGGTAAAGGTCATAGTGTGGTGTGTGACGGATCCTCCAGAGGAGACCGGGTACAGGTCATAGTGTGATGTGTGAAGGAACCCTCCAGAGGAGAGCGGGTACAGGTCATAGGGTGATAGATCTTACAATGCTGTGTAATGATCAGGAGAACTGCATTAAACCGTGTATACATACAAACCTCCATTACAATGACTGCACACATCAGAATTCCCAGCATAGCACAGGGTTCATCAGGACGGTGTAGAAGTGATCAGGGGTGTCACAGCCATGCAGCCATTTCTACAGAAAATTGATAGATAGCTATGAATGGCATAGTGCAGCTTTTTCAAATAAAATAATAAATGCATCCAAATTAATAAAACAAACAAACAAACAAGAAAATACAATTTGGCATTGAAACCTGTAAAGCAGTGGTGGTCAACTTTCTTGAAATGGGAGGGGTGGGGGGCTGCATGTAAAATGAAGTCACTTTTTAGTATTAGAGACAGCAGACGCAGCAAGATATAGTCAGAGACTGAGGACATATTACAAGAGATAGTCAGACACTGCAGACATGGTACAACAGATGGTAAGAGACTGATGACATGACCAAAGAGATGGTCAGAGACTGATGACATGATCCAAGAAATGGTCAGAGATTGATAACATGATCCAAGAGATGGTCAGAGACTGATGACATGATCCAAGAAATGGTCAGAGATTGATGACATGATCCAAGAGATGTCTAGAGACTGCTAACAGGATACAGGAGATGGTCACAGAGGCAGGAGACTGTCTGAGACTGTGAACTTTATATAGGAGTTGTTGGGGACTAGGAACATTCTTCAAAAGACAGCCATACATTGCAGACACTTTACACTGGACTGCTAGAGATCATTTCTATGACAGGACAATAAGGAAATGTAGATGCAGCTCAAAAAGTGATAAAGGACCCCAAGCTTGGCACCAGGGCTGTACAGCACCTCAGCCTTGATCAGTGGATCAATCATATGAAGAGCCTGGAGAACACGTTTGGAACAAGTTTATGGCTGTGTTTGCAGATGTGAGCTTGTTTAAAACTGAAGTTTAGGTATGACTTTTTTATGCACATTTACTTTAATCCAGTTTGGGCCAATGTAAGTATGTAAGTGTCATAATTGGCCGCTCCCCCTGGAAGTTATAAATTACTGTAGTAAGGGCCACTGTTACAGTGATTGCCACTAGCTTCTCAGTTCTGTGCAAAGTGGCTGCCCTGCTGCATAGAAAATGCAGGGTGTTGCTTTCTCAGCACAGGTCCCATTTGCAGAACACCTTGCATTTTTCTGAATGAATGCAAAGCGTTCTCTGATTGGATGAGGTGGAGAGATGGGGCAGTGAGGTTAAGATCTCCACCTCATCAAATCAGATAATGTTTTGCATTCATTGAGAAAATTGCAAGGTGTTCTGTGAATGGGACATGTGCTGAGCGAACAATGCCATGAATGATAACCGTTATAGTTGCTTGTGCTGTCAACCAAACTGTCACAACTGACCACATGGCAGCTGCAGATCAAGCAGGAAGATTCCTTGAGTGATTTTTTTTTCCACTTTAAAGCAGAACTAAACCCACCAATTTAACGGTTGAAAAAAAACAGTTACATTCCTGACATATGCTGGGAATGCTAACTGTCACATTTGCTTGTGTAGCATTATGGCAGTTGTAGATCAAACAGAGGCTAGGATGGCAGCTTCCTTGGCTGAAAAGAATAGGAGGGTTTAGTTCTACTTTAAGTTCAGATATCTCACCAACAGAGACTTTAGGAGATGTAAGAAATTGTCAGGTGTCCAGAAACTACCAAAAATTCAAATATCAGTTTTTTGAACAACCCAAGCCTAAAACAATGAAAGCTCCAGGTGATGTGACCATCATCTCACCCATCTACTGTATTACACTTACCAGCACAGGTTAGTGACTCAGAATGGCACCCAGAGACCACAGCTTCACCACTCCACTTTTAAAAAATACAACACTAACCCCACCCCAATACTAGCTCTAACACTGGGGCAAAGTGGCAGGTTCACTTGAAGTTGTGCTAAATTATAAATTTGTTTTTATATAAGTCTTTCCAACATATCAAGTATACGACTAGGTTCACATTGTACCGGGTTTGCAGCATGCGTTTACATGGCAGCCCATTCATTTGAATTTACTGATGTGCCTGCATTTCCCACAAAAAAAAAAGTTTCTTGCACCATTTTCAAAATGCAGCCACAGAGAAAACGAATGGTACTTTTGTACCATGTGATTTCCCTGCGGTCCCTTCACCTGCAATTGTGCTTCCGGTTTAGATGCGTGGGGGTGATATTAAGAATGAATGGCAGCACCACGCGTCTCTACAGAGCAGCGCTTTTTGGCTGCAGGTGGTTGCGGGTTCGGGAACCGCTGTGATTTCCGCACCCGCAGCCACCTGCTACAGTGTGAAACTAGCCTACTACAGCTCAGTTTTAAGGCTTCTTCTGATAGCCTGTGCGCACTTTCAATCCTCCATCCTCCACTGATGCACCTCACTGCTGCTAGTGTATAGGGCACAGTGCCTGTTATTTCTGGATATATGCTACTCTTTGTGTTCTACAATTCCCATAGTTCTCAGAGCTTTACCAAGTCACTGCACATGAGCCAAATTAACACTGACAGATGCTGGCTCCTCCCCACACTACTCCTCTTTCTAGAAACAGAACTACAAGTCCTATCATGCCTCAGCCTGTGGGAGTCATGCTTGTAAATCAGCCTTGCAATGCCTCGTGGGACTTGTAGTTCTGCAACAGCTGTAGGGCCGCCAGTTTGACACCCCCGCTGTAGAACTAGCTAAAATGTGAGTCGTACTACACTAGTGCATTTTGCATGGTGGTGCTAAATACATCCACACATAGATGTGTAGTCCATCTTGGGGCTGAGCAGGAAAGGGAGGCTAACTTCACGCACACAACGTAGGGGGGTCCTGGAGAACAAGCATGGCCACCCAAAAACAGAAAGTCTGAGAACAACTGAGAAAACCTGAAATTTGAGAGAGGAAAGGGAGGAAGAGGGAGATTTAAGGTACATTCTACTTATATACAGTTGTGTTCAAAATAATAGCAGTGTGCTGAAGAAAGTGAATAAAGCTCAAAATCCTTCTAATAGCTTTTATTTCCATACACACAAATGCATTGGGAACACTACACATTCTATTCCAAATCAAAACATGAAGAAAAATATATCAAATTTGTGTTGTTCCTCTAAAAAAATTGAAGAAAAGTGAATATTAGACTGTTCAAAAAAATAGCAGTTTTTGTATTCTTCTTTAGAAACTCAAACATTCACTATATAAACTGAAAAATGGTTGAAGATTTTGCTTTCCTTTGACTCACTTAATGAATATTTAGTTGTATAAGCACTGTTTCTGAGAACTGCTGTACATCTGTGTTGCATGGAGTCAACCAACTTCTGGCACCTGTGAACAGGTATTCCAGCCCAGGATGATTGGACTACATTCCACAGTTCTTCTCTATTTCTTGGTTTTGCCTCAGAAACTGCATTTTTGATGTCACCCCACAAGTTTTCTATTGGATTAAGATCCGGGATTGGGCTGGCCACTCTATAACGTCAATCTTGTTGGTCTGGAACCAAGATGTTGCACGTTTACTGGTGTGTTTGGGGTCGTTGTCTTGTTGGAACACCCATTTCAAGGGCATTTCCTCTTCAGCATAAGGCAGCATGACCTCTTCAAGTATTCTGATGTATTCAAACTGATCCATGATCCCTGGTATGCGATAAATAGGCCCAACACCGTAGTATGAGAAACATCCCCATATCATGATGCTTGCGTAACCATGCTTCACTGTCTTCATAGTGTACTGTGGCTTGAATTCAGTGTTTGGGGGTCATCTGACAAACTGTCTCCGGCCACTAGACCCAAAAAGAACAATCTTACTTTCATCAGTCCACAAAATGTTGCGCCATTTCTCTTTAGGCCAGTCAATGTGCTCTTTGGCAAATTGTAACCTCTTCAGCACGCCCTTTTTTTTCAACAGTGGGACTTTGCGGGGGCTTCTTGCAGATAGCTTGGCTTCACATAGGCGTCTTCTATTTGTAACAGTACTCACAGGTAACTTTACACCTTCTTTGATCTTCCTGGAGCTGATTGTCGGCTGAGTCCGCGCCATTTTGGCTATTCTTCTATCCATTTGAATGGTAGTTTTTCGCTTTCTTCCACGTCTTTCAGGTTTTGGTTGCCATTTTAAAGCATTTGCGATAATTTTAGCTGAGCAGCCTATCATTTTCTGCACTTCTTTATATGTTTTCCCCTCTCCAATCAACTTTTTAATCAAGGTACGCTGTTCTTCTGAACAATGTCTGGAACAACCCATTTTCCTCAGAATTTCAGAGAGAAATGCACTGTAACCAGCATGTACAACATTTGCTGCCTTCCTTCCTTCCTTCAATAAGGGCAATAATTGCCACCTGTTTTTCAAAGAATGAATGACCTCACTTATAGAACTCCACACTGCTATTATTTTTGAACATGCCCCTTTCAATTAGTGATTCAATTACACAGAATCAGCAGCATGCATGTCATGGCTGTTGGGTCTGTTGGATTTCTATTACTCTACTACACCTGCTAGTAAATTATTTGCCATGTAGAAATATCATTTCTACCAAAAACAGTGATTGATCAGGTTAGTGATGTCTGACTGCTATTATTATGAACACAACTGTAAAAGCTGTTGCGTGTATTTTCTTTCTATAAAAAATGTGAATTAAGTGCCACTTTAATAGGTCACCCCCCTATTCACTTATTTTCCTCGTGCTGCCAGTCTGTTTCATTATAAATAACATGCATTAAAAAAACACTGTTAACAAAATTCAGTTAAAAAAATGTTGGTTCCCAAGTAGTGTGTGAGCATGAAGGTAGGATAGTAGCCTATAGCTAGTACATAGAAGCTGTATTATAACACAGTTGGAATAACATTATATGTCTGAAATGATTACCTGTCTGTCTCATACCTGAACTTTACTGAATTAAAATACTAATCCTACAGTCCTAATGCTATTGTTCACTTTTTCTACTGTACTTTAAATCCAAGGTGTAAAGCAACAATGCTTATTTGGGCATGTGGTGCCAGCCAGACAGTGCAGTTCAAGAGGCTACACAGATGATGGAGACAGAGCACTACTGGATCGTGTAATAAGAGTAGATCATGCTGGGGAATATGGAGCAAATCGCATCTATGCTGGGCAGATGGCCGTATTGAGGAGATCATCCGTAGGACCCATTATTCAGGTTGGTGGATGCACACTATCCTTTAAAGTCTATGTCTTATGTGTGATAGCACTGGACCAATAGAGAGAGGCTTGCTTCTGATGTAAATATAAACTGCTAAATACCTTTTTCTCATCAGCAGTTAGAGCAGTCTTGTGACTTTAGCTGAGCACTGGTTAAAGCTTGTAGGAGGAGTTTTCTTTCTGCTCTAGGAGGATGCAAAACCCCCTGACCTCTGTCTGGACAGTGCTGATTGGCCCTGTGCTGATCACATGCCCTCTCCTAAGAAAACCCCCCAAAAAACTCTAGCAATACACACTAAACTGAGCATGTGCAGAAGGGCTACGGGTTCAGTCTGTCTTTATCAGCGTGGACATTTGAACAAGAGGAGGGGCAGAGAAGTCAGGATCAAACAGCCTTTTTACACCATGCAGAGGATTAACCCCTTAGGTTCCACAGTGAGTATAACATGCATGCTTTACTACATATACAGACAGATTTTACTGTTGTGGGTTTAGTAGCACTTTAAAGCTCTTAACCAATAAACATTTCAAAAAGACCTCTGAGACATATATGAACTTTTGTACTAGGCACGCCTCAATAGCCACCCCAGAGGCTAATTCTAAGGCTGACATGTATTTTAAGGGTATCTTTATGGAGCTTGCCATTCTATTGTGAATTAAGTAAACGCAAGTAAAAGGCAACAAAGATGATTATGATAATTAGCAATCTGAAGTTTGAAATCAGTGTGCTTCAACAATGCAAAGGTCTTAAGGCCAGTTAAGTCTTGCTTTTTTTATTATTGTTATGCAGTTAAGCTGCATACCAAGGTAACACTTTTGGCATTGTCTTTTATTATGTGTTATGGCTTGAAATGGCAAGAAGCTGTCATGTGATGGCAGCACGCTGGAGAGCCAGACTGCTGCTCCCACAAACACACCCTGCACAGTGCTACAATCGGTAATGCTGCTCAGTGAGCATAAGAGTTGTTGGAATACAGTGCAGAGGCTGTGTCAAACTCTTTCGCTTTGTGTGAGAGTAGCAGTCTGTCTCTCTACTGTGCAGCTTCATACAGTTTTAGTCACTGATGTATTAAAAAAATTACAGAAATATCTTTACTTTTACACAGGCTGACTGCATAGTAGTAATATAAAGCAAGGCATCAGTTGGAATGTTGGAAAACAGTTCATGAGCTAAACATGTAGGCTGGCATTGCTGACTTCTCCTTCTGAAAATGCTAGTTACCTGGCTGTCTTACTGACTCATTTGGCTTTCACATGTTGAATCTACCAATTTCTAACCCAGAATAAGTGATCTGCATGCTTGTTCTGGGTTAGTGACTCAGAATGTATTGAAACCAAATGGTCAGCGTAACAGCTACCCAATAGTGATGAGCTTGGGTGTATTCAGACTAGGATCCAAACACATGTAGGCGAGTGCACCACCAAGCTGTCACCTGTACAGGCCAATCATCTGCAACCAGGGCATTTCCCGCCCGTAGCTGCACAAGGAGTGAGTATATTTACGTATGCGTGGCAGGTAATACCCTGGCAGCAGATGATTACCATGTACAGAAGATGGTTCATGGTGGGCTCACACACATGGTTGGGGATCCTTGTCTGAACACATCTGAGCTCATCACTACTGACCATCTTGCTTCTGTAGGCATCATGTTCCAAATCTTTTGGATGGATAAAGGGGGGGGGGGGGGGGGTTATCAAGAACATTATTTCAGAATTAAGCATGCATGTATTGTAAATCAGGCTGCTCCAATGAGGGCACACACAACAATAAAACCTGGCAAAGTGAAACCTTGGCGATTGCACATGACCAATCTGAGAAATTTTAGAAGATTTGGACCGCTTGGTTCCTTTTCCAATTGTCTGGCAACTATGACAGGCTGACCACTGGCTGAATGGGAAGTGTTTATGGGTGCCTCTAGCCTCCTGTGTGTACACTGTCTTTGACAACGATGTGCCATATGTACCCCATATTTGGATTGCCAAATAAACAGTTTCTACTTTTACAAGCGCCAATTGCACCTGCATTTGGTGATATTGTTCAAGAATCCTTGCAGATTGAAACTATGAATGCAATCTCACTACTCTGTACAATGTAACACTATTACTAATGTTTTCATATGGAACATGTCCTCAGTTACGATACAGATTCTGTTCTTGTAATGATGTTCATGATTCACTGATATGTTCACTGTCTATTTTTCCTACTGTTCTCAGGAAAAAAAGGAAAGTAAAAAATGTTTGTTTATTCTGTAACTTTTGCTTTGGAAAATGCAATAAAGTATATTGTACAAGAAACATGTCAAAGCATCTAATCCTGCTTTACTCCATACAAAAGCCAAACTTTTGGCTTGAGCTGGGCTTTAAATCTTTCTATTGCAACAAAATTCATTGTCATTCAGATCAGATTCAGATCCTGTATTTATTACAGGTGTTTATATAGCTCCTACAAATGTATGCAGTGCTTTACATTCTGTGCTTTCAAACCATTTTTTGCTCACAATATAAGGTCCTTATATTAAATGTATACATACACAAACACACATACACAATATGGACAGAACCCTATTAACCTGTCTTTGTAGTGTGGAGGGAAACCCACGCAAGCATCTTGTGAGCATTCAGACTTCATACACATAGGGGTTTATTTACTGAAGCTGGAGAGTCCAAAATCAGACTCCCTTCTGCATAGAAACCAATCAGCTTCTAACCTCAGCTTGTTCAATGAAGCTTTGGCAATGAAACCTGGAAGCTGATTGGTTTCTATGCAGAAGGGAGTCTGATTTTGGACTCTCCAGCTTTAGTAAATAAACCCCATAGTGTCCTGGTTAGGATTCAAAATGAAACCCAAGAGCTGCAAGACAACATTGCTAACCTCTAAGCCCCTGTATTGCTATTTTTTAGAAATAATATATAAGATACCCTCTTTTAGCCTATATTACACAAGACAATATCACTGATGTAGTAACCACCAATTAAATCTTTTTGGATTGATTTCATTAAACATTGATATACATTTCAAAGTGTCTAGAATATATCTGAAACTATTATCTAAAGCTATTGCGGCCACAGTTTCCCTCAGTTAACCAAGGTATATTTTACAGCATATGTGGAACCAGGAGAAAGATCATTTAAAAAAGTTTGATGAACTAATGGTTGCGAACAGGGTCCGGCCTACTATACTGCTGCCGTTCTGGAATGTGGCTGGATTTGTACTAGGTAGGCTACTTCTGCTTTGCATTTTAAATTCTATAAATTATATTTATTATCTGAACGCATGTGTTCATGGATTATCACATCTTGTCCCACTCAGGTGCTGGTACGGCTCTGCTGGGAAAGAATGGTGCAATGGCTTGTACAGTGGCGGTGGAAGAGACTATATCGAACCACTATAACAATCAAATCCGAACTCTTATGGAAAGAGATCCTGAAAAGCACAAGGAATTGCTGCAGGTGCTTAAATAGAATTCCACCATATAACATGTTTTTAACCACTTCAAGTCTGGACACTTTCACCCCCTTCCTGTCCAGGCCAATTTTCAGCTTTCAGTGCCATCACACTTTGAATGGCAGTTGCACGGTCATGCAACACTGTACCCATATGAATTTTTTAGCATTTTTTTTTAGACAGATAAACTTTATTTTGGTGGTATTTATTCACCACTGGGATTGTTATTTTTTTGCTATATAAATGAAAAAGTCCAAACATTTTGAAAAAAAAGGTGTTTTTCTTATAACATTTTTCAAATAAATAATATTTCTTCATAAATCTTGGCCAAAATGTATTCATCTATCTTTTTAGTAAAAAAAAAATAACCCAAATTAGTTTATAACCAAAAATTATAATTACAAAAACCATTTGTTACATTTTTATTTTAATTTTTGATATTATTATTTTTTTTTTTTTTTTTTTTTCAAACATGCTGTCACCCTAGCAGTACAGTGTCGCCATAGTGACACTACTACCTTTGAGGGGTGATGAAGTTTTGCTTTTACACCCATAAAGGCTGCAGTCATTGAGAAATACTGTGAGAGCTGTGATTGGTCACAGCTTGTCACATGGCACAAGGCTGTTGTGAATAGCCTTGTACCATGTGACCTCATGTGATTTCACAAGTAGTAAGCAATGATGTCAGGAAGTGACATCTTGGTTACCACTATTCATGTGATCACTGATTGGCCAATCAGTGATCATATGAATGGGGACCTCACACAGAGGTCCCGTACAGCGATCGGTGTTCCTACGGATACAGCGGGCACCAGATCGCGGTGCTGAAGCAGTGAATGCGGGGGGCCGTTTATAAGCGGCCACACGCTTCGGCACTGCTCCTGTCCGGCCGTTTATGTACATGGGCCAGATGGGAAGTGGTTAAAGGGTATAGAAAAATTAAATGAAGTTATAAAGTGATATTAGATGAATTACACCAAAGATCCATTTGCTATTGTTTGTACCTTCAGTCTTGCAATCAACCTCAGACTAAAGCTGGGTACACACTATAAGAAAATCAGGCAAACGATCATCTGGTTTTCCTCAATGTTTCACAGCAAGTCAAACCCGAGCATGGTACTAATTGTACGAAACTTCTCGAGTGACAAAGGCTTTTTTTTGTTTGACGTAGAAAGGTTGTAGTGTAGATTATTGTTTCTGATCGTGTGCAGTCTTTTGTATACGGTTTTTCTTTTACAAAAACAGCACAGCAAAAAATCATTAGTTCTGTTCACGTATGAGAAAAATGTTGGAAATGTTCGTTTGGAGAGTCTAAATCGGATGTGTACACACTATGTGAAAATTGAACTATTGTTCATTGTACTGAATTTTTCTTATGATTTTCTCATAGTGTGTACTCCACTTATGCTGTATAATTTACCCATAGCCCAGTAATACCAGTTGTTTGCATGTGTGCGAGAGATGGCATGACTAGTTTGGGTTTTCTGTTACTAAACCCCAAAAAAGGGAGACAGAAGATATACTGCTTAGCCTGATTTGCCTGCCTGACATTGTAGGGAAAATGTAGTTGCAGTGCGAATGGATGCATTGAACATGAAAACATTTTATTTTAAATTTTTTTTTTTAATAAATATTTTTTAAAAATGTATTTTATTTTACACTTTTTTTTCATGTAACAAGCCCCATTCGAGACAGCTTTGAGGAGGTAACAGGTACTCTTTATGGAGACATCCGGGGTCTGTTAGACCACCAGTGTCTCCCCTGACCTCCACTGCAGCTAATTAAGCACATGCTTTGCTTGATTAGCTGCTTCCCTGGCTGTGGCAGCCAGGAAATAACAGCTGTGAAACCGCAAGTGATGAAATCATAGCCACTTCTGGCTCAATTAGTCACACAGAGATTGGGCTTCAAGGGCATAAGAGCTTCTGAGACATAAAATTGCGGGACTGGGCATCTGTCTCTCCCTTGAGGTGGCCCTAAGCCAGCCAGATGTCAGAGAACAGCTGATCCAACAGGTTTGAATGTATCTTTGTAGCTAGCCAGAGGCTGCAGCAGGATGCTGATCCATTTCTAACATTTGAAAACAGCCAAGAACAGCTCAGGCATCAGTACTTGCATGATTTTGGAATCTCTAAACCAGAATCTCAGTTCATAAAGCAAATGCTGGATGATGCCTGAACAAAGGTGTCATTATCCTGATGAGAAAACAGATGAGGGTATAGTCAGGAGTACTGGGATCTTCGGGAACAAATAAATACATGTAAGTCTTGCAATTACAAATTACCAAGCATGTATGCACTTACAGTGTGTGTCAAAAAAAAAAAATTTTTTTTTCTTATTTTGGATGGTGTAGGGAAGGATTGCAACTCCTGTTTGTTTTACTACTGTTAGGGACTCCTTTGGAGAGATTTACCCTAAAGCTAGGTTCCCACCTAGCTTGAATGGGCTGCTGTGCCTACGTCTCACGCAAAAAAAAGGTGCATGCACCTTTCAAAAACACATTCACAGGGTTTTTTTTTGACCATGTGGTTTCCCTTGCAGTTCCCGCACCTACGATCGCGCTACAGGCTGAGATGCATGGGGGTGCCATTCAGAATGAATGGCAGCCCCCTGTTTCTTGCAAGAGCAGCACAATTTGGCTGAGGGTGGTTGCGGGTGCAGGAACAGGTGCGATTCCTCCACCCACAACCAGCCCGCAGCCTGCACGCTAGTGTGAACCAGGGCTAATTTCTTGTCTAGCTGATACAAATAAAGGTTGCGATAGCATCTGTAGTTGGTCACTACCTGTAAATTGGTCTTTATTTCTTTTCCACCAGACATTAAAGAAGTTTCGGGATGATGAGATGGAGCATCATGATACAGGACTTGAACATGACGCAGAACTGGTATGAGTTTGACTATTATTGGAAGAAGAGCCGCTTTCACAATTTCAGCGAAACAGTTTTTAGTTCCTTTTAAAGTGAAACTCCAGGAATTATTTGTATTGCATATTTACATTGATCCAGCAGCTTAGCACAATTTATGCATATCTCATATTTGATGGGCCACTAGGAAAGCTGCAAATCAATGTAGTAGTCGATGCTACTACAGTATAAGCCGTGATCTGTTGGGTCCTGCTCAGGTTCTGTGTGAGTGACTTCCCCTTTGCACATGGACAAAAGGAGGGGGGGGTCATTTGCTTGGCACTGCCGTCATTTATTGAACCCTTGTATATTTTTCAATGAATACAAGGCCTTCTCTGATTGGATGAGGTAGAGATCATGATGTCATGGCACCTCCTCTCCACCTCTTCTAATCAAAGAAAGCTTTGTATTTATGGAAAACAATACAAGGTGTTCCATAAATGGCAGTGGTTCCATGCCCCTTCCCCAATCCCCTGTGGTCAGTGTGCAGAGGGGGAAGCTGCTTGCACAGACCAGGCAGGGCCCAGAGGATACAGCTGTCAGTGTTGTAGTGCCGACTATTACAGTGATTTTCAGCTTCTCAGTGGTCCATCAGGTATGAGATATTGATACTTACATTGTGCCAAGCTGGATCAATGTAAATATGCAATCCAAAGAATTATTGGAGCATAGCTTTAAAGCTGAACTCTAGGATAAACAAATATTGCCTAAATACAAGAGTCATATGTATTCTTCCTTGAATCTTGGTGAGTTTTGTGTATTTCTTCTAAATCTGTGCGGTAATCCAGTTTGAAACTTTTTTGCCTCTTTGCAGGAGATTCCTGCAATAAAGACCAGTTAAATATAAAGCAAAAAAGGCAGCTCTCCTCCTTAGTATAATCTTAAAGTGCTAATACAAATCTAAATAAATCCTTAAAACAAATGTGTATATAAATCAATATTGCATATCTACCTCAAAAATAATAAATTATCTCCAGCAAAAAGTGTCCTTTTATAACTTATTCAGTAAGCCAAAATTGTAGGAGAAAAATATATGTAAAATGTCCAAACACCATAAAAAAAATAAAATATATGTATAAGTGCTTTCATCTTCAATATTCAAACTTCATGTGAAAAAAACCACATAAATCACCGTGCACAAATCCACCACCAGATAAATTGGGTAAACTCACCAGAGAAATATGCTGGTCAGATTATAAACCAGCAGAAATGCTTCTGCTCTGGGACCAACGATCTGAAGATGGATAACCAGCGTATGTGGGATAATTCAAATGGCACTAAATTCTTCTCAGTCTCTGAATGAACTCAGGAAGTAAGAGAGGAAAGACTCATAGCGTAACACTGTACCAAAAATATATTCATAAAAACACATATATTCCACTCACATTTACTAGTGTCCGAGCTGATACGAATATTTATATATATTTTATATATTTATATATTTTTTCTCCCACATTTTTGGCTTATTGAATAAGTTGTAAAAGGACACTTTTTGCTGGAGATAATTTATTATTTTTGAGATAGATATGAAATATTGATTTATATATACTTTTGTTTTATGGATTTACAGTTGCAAGAAAAAGTATGTGAACCCCTTGGGATTATGTGGAGTTTTGCATGAATTGGGCATAAAATGTGCTCTTAACGTCATCTAAGTCACAACAATAGAAGAACACAGTCTGCTGAACATAATACTACACAAACATTAGATGTTGCCATGGTTTAATTGCACATAACATGTAAACATTCACAGTGCAGGGAGGAAAAAGTATGTGAACCTTTGGATTTAATAACTGTTTGACCCTCCTTTTGGCAGCAATAACCTCAACCAAATGTTTCCTGTAGTTGCAGATCAGACCTGCACAACGATCTGGAGTAATTTTGGACCACTCCTCTTCACAAAACTGTTTCAGTGTAGCAATATTCTTGGGATGTCTGGTGTGAATCGCTTTCTTAAGGTCATGCCACAACATTTCAATCGGGTTGAGGTCAGGACTCTGACTGGGCCACTCCAGAAGGCGTATTCTGTGCTGTTGCAGCCATTGTTTTGTTGAATTACTTGTATGCTTTGGGTCATTGTCCTGTTGCATCACCCATGCTCTGCGGAGCTTCAGTTGGCGGACAGATGGTCGTACGTTTTCCTGCAAAATGTCTTGATAAACTCTGGAATTCCTTTTCCCATTAATGACAACAATCTGTCCAGGCCCTGAGGCAGCAAAGCAGCCCCAAACCATGATGCTCCCTCCGCCATGTTTTACAGTGGGGATGAGGTTTTGATGTTGGTGTGCTGTGCGCCTTTTTTTCTCCACACATAGTGTTGTGTGTTCTTCCCAAACAACTCAATCTTGGTTTCATCTGTCCACAGTATATTTTGCCAGTAGTGCTGTGGAACATCCAGGTGCTCTTTTGCAAACTTCAAACATGATGCAATATTCTTTTTGGACAGCAATGGCTTCCTCCATGGTGTCCTCCCATGTACTCCATTCTTGTTTAATGTTTTCCTATTGTAGATGTGTCAACAAAAATGTTAGCATGTGCCAGAGATTTCTGTAGGTCTTTAGCTGACACTCTGGGATTCTTCTTTACCTCATGCAGCATTCTGCGCTGTGCTCTTGCAGTCATTTTTACAGGACGACCTCGCCTAGGGAGAGTAGCAACAGTGCTAAACTTTCTCCATTTGTAGACAGTCTGTCTTACCGTGGACACATGAACATCAAGGCTTTTGGAGATACTTTTGTAACTCTTTCCAGCTTCATGCAAGTCAACAATTCTTGATCGTAGGTCTTCTGAGAGCTCTTTTCTGTGAGGCATGGTTCACATCAGACAGTGCTTCTTGAAACCAGTAAACCCAAAACAGGTGTGTGTTTTTTAAGGGCAGGACAGCTGTCAGCAACACTTCCAATATCATCACACTGATTGGAGTCAAGGTTGGCTCACTCCTGGCTCCAATTAGCTCTGGGAGAAGTCATTAAGCTAGGGCCTCGCATACTTTTTCCTCCCTGCACTGTGAATGTTTACATGTTATGTGCAATTAAACCATGGCAACATCTAATGTTTGTGTAGTACTATGTTCAGCAGACTGTGTTCTTCTATTGTTGTGATTAGATGACGTTCAGAGCACATTTTATGCCCAATTCATGCAAAACTCCACGTAATCCCAAGGGGTTCACATACTTTTTCTTGCAACTGTATTTAGATTTGTATTAGCACTTTGAGATCATACTAAGGAGTGGCGCTGCCTTTTTTGCTTTATATGAACACCTTGTTAAGGGTTGGATTAGCTGCATTTATATTTATATATATATATATATATATATATATATATATAATTTTACATATTGGTTGGTTTATTGATTTTCAGTGGTGCTGTCCATATTCTAATCAATAAAGACCAGTTGCTGCTGCTTTCTTTCCTTGTGCAGGGTGGCTGTTCTTGTCTCTGCCCCCTCCTGTAGTTTTATGCAGAAAGCCTGTAGTGAGTGATGCTTGCTGGGCCCCTCCCGCAGCTTTGCTCTCTGCTCAGGCTATGTACAGCACAGTGATGATGTCACTGCTACTTTAAGCTGGCCATAGATGGATCACAATTCAGCCAGTTTAGCATGGACCAGCTGAATTTCGATCCATGTGTGGCCTCTCCCCCTCGACAGAAAATTGTTGGAACATTTTTCTTGATCAGTCTACTCTGAGGAGCCCTGCTGCTAGAATACAATGGCACAGCGGAGAGGATTCCTCCATCCATCTTGCTTGTGTGGTTGGGGGAATCCGGAAACAAAAACAAGTTATCTATGTCAAGCCTTACAAGGGTATATCTGGGTTTGCGAAGGCATTTAATAGATTTATTGGCTGTTGAGGAATATATTTTATATGAAAGCTTGTGTACCTGGAATTCAGCTTTAAGAATCTTGTCATCAGGTTGTTTTTGTAGAAGCAGTAAACTTCTGCTTTTTATATATGATGGCGATAAATAGATGCTAATTAAAATGCTTAAATAAGTCATGAGTTATTAATTAGCTCTGGTAGGCAGCAATGAATCACTGAAGTTTCTAAAGGTTAATAAAACTGCTAAATATTCCCCCCAGTTCTGAATTTATAATTATCTCTAGTTACAAATTGTTGTGGCCAGAACTTGTTTTCTTAAAGTGGTGCTAAACACAAAACTAAAAATGAAATATACAGTATTGCTGCTTATCAATCATTCGATGTGCTGGCTGCATTAGTTTTCTTTTTTTAGGCTTTTTCCCTCTGTTTTTACCTGCTGATCTGTCCAGTAATACACCTCCTGAATTAGAGCGCCTTCTCTCAGGATGAAGGAGCAGAGGGGGCAGCATTGTCAGTCTGGTGGGGAGGGGAGTGTTATATATGGTACACATTGAAGCCAAACTCCAGCAAATACTTTTTAAGCAGTTACAGCAACAGTTTTATTGCTTTTGGGATAAAAGTGTTACAAAATGAATTAAAACTGATTATTGTAAGTACCCCTGCCAGTGGTAAATGGTTTGTCCCAACCTTGTAACTGCTACTGCTGCAGGATAGCTTGTTCTGTTAAAAACTGGTCAGATCACCAAGCAAAAATAAAAAAAAGCCTAAAAAAAATAATGCATGCAACTAAAGTACAACCATAGTGCCCATACAGGGATTGAAATGTAGCCTGTCCCTGCTGAACTGGCTAAATTTCGATCCATCTATGGGCAGCTGTAGGGCTTGTTCACATTTCTGTGGAGACCTTTTCTGTATCTGAAAAACATGGAAGAGCCCTGATAGGTTTTTTTTTTTCTTTTCAGTTCACACTGATTATGACACAAACCGATATTAAGCATCTTAGCCCCTTCCCAATGTGTGTTCACATATATACACTCTTGCAGACTTGGGTCTTTTTAGCTTTTTTACAATTTTGTGTCATTTTTTTCATTGATGATAAAAAATAAAGTAAAAAATTAGGAGATATCATTACCATTTACCACTAAAGGAAGACCCAATTTGTACTGAAAAAAACGCAGTATAATCCACCTTGATGCACAAAGTAGTTGTGATGATATGTACAGTTTTATTAACACGTCAGAATTGCAAAACTGTGTTCAAGTGTACATACTAAATACAATATGTCAAATCAGCACTTCTATATAAATGGAAATCTCTTGCTATTCCTGTGCATATGTACTGTTTGAAGATACTTTTCTACATTTTGGGTATGTGACAAATATTCTCCATAATCCAGCTTTACACTGACTGTAGTATAAGTTGTAGCTTTTATAATGTGGCAGTTTAAATGACTTTGGTTTAAGTATTCACTTGCTTGTTAAAATTCTTTAAGCCATATAATTTTACATTTGATGCTCTGAAGTGGGGGGGAATGACATTACATTGCAATAGTATAATAATATTTAGAGGATGATGTTAGGAAACAACAAGTGCAAAAATTACGGATTTACAGTATCTCACAAAAATGAGTACACCCCTCACATTTTTGTAAAATGTGCTGCAGCTCAGTTTCAGGGTCTTGGCAATCTTCTTATAGCCTAGGCCATCTTTATGTAGAGCAACAGTTCTTTTTTTCAGATCCTCTGAGAGCTCTTTGCCATGAGGAGCCATGTTGAACTTCCATTGACCAGTATGAGAGAGTGAGAGCGAGAACACCAAATTTAACACACCTGCTCCCCATTCACACCTGAGACTTTGTAACACTAACGAGTCACATGACATCGGGGAGGGAAAATGCATAATTGGGCCCAATTTGGACATTTCCACTTAGGGGTGTTGCCAGCGGTTTAGACATTAATGGATGTGTGTTGACTTATTTTGAGGGGACAGCAAATTTACACTGTTATACAAGCTGTACACTCACTACTTTACACTGTAACAAAGTGTAATTTCTTCAGTGTTGTCACATGAAAAGATAGAATAAAATATGATGGGTGTACTCACTTCTGTGAGATACTGTGTGTCAGAAAATCTAATGTTTTTAAAGCTGAACTCTAGGCAGAAATAAAAGACACAAATTAATGCAGCGTATGTCAGTTCAATCACTATAAGTATGCAGTTGATCTGGTATCAGCCTGCTTGCAGAAGTTGTTCAATGAGCCAATTAGTTCTTGTGCTGATAGGAAAACAAAGCAGGGAGATGAGAAGCATTGTGCTTCTCCTCCTTTCACTGTCCAGTCACAGGCAGGTGTGGGCCCAGAGTGACCTGGGTTCAGAGGAAGTGCGTAGCGGCAGAAAAATGTACTTGGGGGGGGGGGGGGGGGGGGATCTCTATTTGAAGGTAAACATTGCAGCAAAAGCAGATTTTGTTATTTCAATCTTCTAATGGCCTATTCATCTTTATCTTGCGATTATTGGCTAGAGATTAACTTTAAACGTGAATATGAGAAGTGTGCAGCTATTAAGTTGGGAGGTTGCAGAATCCTGCAGACTGGAAATTCATTAAAAAAGTTAAGCAAGTGCTGCAATAAGGCTTCAGTCATATGGGTAATGGGGTGTGGATAGATTGCTGTGTTAAACGCAGCTGCACTCTCATATGTCTGCATAGAAACTGGCTGATTATTTGCAGCCAATTTTGTGTAAGGCCAAAACTCTGCAGAAAAGCTGAACCTGGACACACATTGGGCTCTGTTCACATCTTGACAGCCCAGGTGAGCGGTTGTGTGAACAGCGGTGGCACCGGTCATTCGATTTGTACAGAGCAGCACTGTTAAGGTGGTACTAAAACCTCCTATCCTTTTCAGCCAAGGAAGCCGCCATCTTAGCCTCTGTTTGATCTGCACCTGCAATGGTGCTGAACATGTGATCAGTTATGACACCAGCCAGTTGATGTTTTGACAGTTTGTGTGAGAGCACAAGAAAATGTAACAGTTCGCATTTCTGGCATGCCGGGAATGTAACTTTTTTTTTTTTTTTTTTAAACCGGTAAATTGATGGTTTTAGTTCCACTTTAAAGTTTTCACTTTTTTAGAAAAAATGAAAAGGCGAACTAACAACATACTCCCCCCCCCCCCCCCTTTTCTGGGTCCCCTTTGTAATTGTATGTACGTGCTTCCAGGGAAGCTGAGCTGTCAGTGCCCCATGCAGCTGTTTAAGTGGTCCCAGGATTTGAAATTCATGTTCTTCCTCTGCAGCACATCTGGGACAGACCAGAGCAATTCTGATTGGTCAGTACTTGCACACCGAATCGCTCCAGAATTGTTCCAGAAGCTCTGCATGGAGAAGAGCGCTAATTAAGTTGACAAAATATTTATTGAGGTTTTCAGATAAAATTATAACATGCAGTGCTAGATTCTTGTACAAAAATAATATACAAAGACTAGTGGAAAATAAAATCATATAATGCAAAACAATACAATATGGGCTAATGGGTTATAAATAGCGACAGTAGTGCGACACAAAACAGCTTCTGGTACAGGGCACTTCAAATCCTGCTGAACTGGCTTCATGGGCACTGACAGCTCAGCATCCCTGGAAGTAAATACAGCACCCTTTTACATTTTTTCTGAAAAGGTGAACTAACACTCTAAGCAATTGTTTGGATGAGTTCTGGAAACCAAACAAATGTGTTCTCTTATGTATATCACTGTTTCCTTTTCTTTTGTTTCTTTTGCTGTTTTTAATTTCATTAGCTGTTTACAAGAAAAAATTAACAAACTTAATGTTTCCTTTAAAAAAAAAAAAAAAAAAAAAAAAAAAAAAAAATCCCACAAAATAAAAAGTTAAGTGGATTGTGGGTGATCAGACGTCCACCCAGAACTGATAATTAGGCACATTTTATCCTCCGGCACCTGCTATCTGACATGCTTTGATGCCAGATGAACTAAATTTACCTCTACATCTAGAGATCATAGGTCGTTGTAAAAATAGCTTGACAATCTTGTGTCTCCAAACTTCAAAGGAATAGATAAAGGACATCAACTGCCTGCCGAAGTGCCTCTGACAATGTAATACTTCTTTTCCCTGCAGGCTCCAGCTTATTCCGTGTTGAAGACTGTTTATACAAGCCGGATGCCGAGCAGCTGTCTATTTATCTGAACGTGTCTAAGAAAAGGAGTTTGTTTTTCAGAGAGAATTTAGGCTTATTCCTTTCTTCTGCAATGAAGCTGATTTTTTTACACAATGTGGTATTGTGGTCAGGCAGCTGCCTTATGCTTTTGCAAGTAATGCTTTTTGCAGTTTTATAAGTGGCCACTAGGTGGCAGGGTGTGTAGTTTAAGCTGAAAGCTTGTATAGAAACAAGTGAAGATTTTATTTGGCCTAAATTGAACAATTCTTATTGCATTCTTCACTGGACACTTTAGGGTTAATGCTCACTTGAGTTCAAGAACTCTGCTTTTACAGATAAGTGAACTTTTTTTTTTTCTGCCTCCAAATGCCCCTCCATGCTACCTGTTTATGCACACTAGATGTTTACAGGAGTTTAGTGGCAGGGATGTCTAGAGACAGAAAAACACCCACCAAAGTCAGGAGAGGAGCTCTTGAACATAAAACCGATCAAAAGTGCCTAAAGGTGTGTTCATGCTAGGTGTGTTTCTGCACATTCGTGCGTTAATACGTTCTAATAGCCAGAATAAATTAACATTCTGGCCAAAAGAATGCTTTACTGCCTGATGTATGAACACACATAAATGTGAGTGAATGTATATGCAAAAATGCAGCTTTTTACTGAGAATACAGTGTGTATGTGGTCTTAGATGTCACTACAGGAAAAACCAAACAATATACTGTAGGTAATAAAAACTGTTTAGTCTATCGCTCTCCTGCCTTGCTTTGCCAAAATTGTCAGGTGGAACTATATCTTAGTCAATAAACTGTAATTATTTTTCTACAATGAATTTGCGGTACCTATTTAGGAAATGTGTTTAATTTATATCATTTTGAAGACTTAAAGCCTCTCAGCAGCACTGACTGTAGTATTTACATCCTGTTTGGGACAGCACCCCACAGTAATCCCATTCTATTATGAAGTTGTCCTTCAACCCAGAAGACTGAGCACATATTTGATGCAGGGTGATCTAGGCTTTAACATGGCTAACTATTTAAAAAAAAAATACAAGAGGAGGGAGGAGTGAACACTGGGGAGACAGGAAAGGCGTGTATGTTGCAATAACAGCATGCTGAATACCCTTAAGCTGTTACTAAACCCACAACAGTAAAATCAGTCTGTATATGCAGTAAAGCATGCTTGTTATACTCACTGTGGAACCTAAGGGGTTAATCCTCTGCATTGTGTAAAAAGGCTGTTTGATACTGACTTCACTGATCCTCCCCTTCTTCCAGTGTCCCCCTCTTATCTCCTGATGAGACATATTGTGTGGAGACACTCTGAACTTGCTCAGTTTGGAGTGTATTGCTATAGAGGTTTTTTTTTTTTTTTTGTTTTTTTCTTGGGAGAGTGCATGTGATCAGCACTGTTCAGACAGAGGTCAGGGGTTCTGCATCCTCTTAGAGCGAAATGAAAACTTCTACATGTGCTCAGCTGAACACTAATAGAAGTCACATGACTGCTCCAGCTGCTGATGAGAAAAGGTATTTAGCAGTTTATATTTACTAAAATAATTACACTTCCATGGTCTGCGTACCGTGGGAGACCAGATATAGTGAATGCAGGGTCCTGGTTTTAATAACACTTTCATTGTCAAAGTATAGGAACATAACCTTGTCTTATACAGTAAGGTAGCTACCATCTGTGACGAACTCGGGATCGCTGACACCAATATGTGACGACCGCGGTGTCAGACCCCAGCTCTTCTCACCAAACTCGTGACCGAAAGACTAGCCAATCTAAAACCGCAATGTCACGTGCGTAACAATGCCCACACCCAGCTGCACCCTGCACAACGATTTTCCAGCTAATTGGACCACAATCGTACCGGCAGCCTGAGCGATTGTTACTGGGTCAGGTTAATTAAGCAATTAACCCTTCACACTTCCACCACCTGCTTTTGTACAGAGAAAGAGGAAACTTGGCGATATCCGCAATAACACTATAATGGTTGAGGTAATCATCTGTATAACACGGTCACCGCAGGCCGGTTATACAGAGGGTTAAACAAAGACAGTAGCGTTCTTTTTAGAGGCAGGAATTCGTAAATTGCAATTAAGAGCTATAGAAACAGTTCAACACTTTCAGAAGGAAAGATTTATTACTGAAAAGTCAAAAAGGGGTGCAATAAAAATATTTACAGAACAAAGATGTAACCAAAATATATATATATATAAATATACAGTGAACAACAGCACAGCCAAGAGATAACAGGGAGAGGTTAAAGGGTTAAGTACTTGCCAAAGTCCTGGGTTAGCAGATCAAGTTTCAAAGCAAAAGGGTACGGGTCTCCCCAGGTGGTATTGATGTTAAAATGGGAGAATTCGTCAACTCAGCTCTCGAGTAGATTATTATGCGGACATGTCTGAGGATTGATTAGATATTAAATATGAAATTCTACACTGAATGGTTCATGAGATCTTTTTTTCTGCTTTCCTATGTATTCGAGACAAGGAGAGTGACCCATCAAACTGTTCGCCTCCTCTTGGCCAATCTGACAATATGCCTGGGTTTATGTAAGTCTCTCATATTCCAAGATATGAAACATAGGGCAAAAATGGATTTTTTAAAAAGGTTATCTGGTTCAATGTCTTTTGAACTCCTGTGAAGGCGTTTATCTTTTTACGAGGTGCTAAATTGTGCAACCTGGCATTTTGCTCAGAAATGTTTTATAGCTCTGGGGTTCCCTGCTGTGCTCTGCCTGTGACACTTTTAACACACACACAACACACACACACTGCCATATGTCACTGTGCCTCTCGGAGAGGGAGGGGGAAAGAATGAGGGGAGAAAATGGAGATTCTTAACAAAATGGAGGCTGCGTCCTGCCTCTGGTGCGCACGTTCGGGACACCATCCTTGTTGTTTCTCTTTTATGTACGAATATAGTGACTGTTCAACATTGTTGCTTTTGTTACTTCATCTTTTTTTGTGGTTGTGGCTTAAATTCAAAATAGAGATGTACTAGAATTTCTCCTTGTAGTTTAAAAAAAAAATGCTAGATTGTAACATACATAATACAAAACTAAATACAAAACAGTCGACCTCTATCTGATTTTATTTCTGTATTATTCTATGATGGAGGGGATGTTTTCTCAGTTTATGTACTGTAACCATTACTACAAGGACAGGAAAGTGAGTGAAAATTTCCCCAAGAGGATGTGGATAACAGTAAACTCTTTTTCAAACTCTCTCCTACTGTTAAGAAAAGGTTGCCATCCATGTTTCCATTGAGGCTATTTCTCTTTACTTTAGGTCTGTGAAATGGCTGTACTTATCCAGCTTTAGGAGCATAACAGTAACTTTAACTATTACCTACTGTATCTGAAACAAAAACATTATGTTGGTTGGAGTTCAGGTATATACAGTTGTGTTCAAAATAATAGCAGTGTGTAGAAAAAAGTGAATAAAGCTCAAAATCCTTCTAATAGCTTTTATTTCCATACACACAAATGCATTGGGAACACATTACACATTCTGTTTTCAAATCTAAAAACATGAAAGAAAAATGAATATTACAAAAAAACTCAAACAAATTCACTATATAAACTGAAAAATGTTTGAAGATTTTGCTTTCCTTTGAATCACTTAATTAATATTTAGTTGTATAAGCACTGTTTCTGAGAACTGCTGTACATCTGTGTTGCATGGAGTCAACCAACTTCTGGCACCTGTGAACAGGTATTCCAGCCTAGGATGATTGGACTACATTCCACAGTTCTTCTCTATTTCTGCAGAAACTGCATTTTTGATGTCACCCCACAAGTTTTCTATTGGATTAAGATGCGGGGATTGGGCTGGCCACTCCATTACATCAATCTTGTTGGTGTGGAACCAAGATGTTGCACGTTTACTGGTGTGTTTGGGGTCGTTGTCTTGTTGGAACACCCATTTCAAGGGCATTTCCTCTTCAGCATAAGGCAGCATGACCTCTTCAAGTATTCTGATGTATTCAATTTGATCCATGATCCCAGGTATGTGATAAATAGGCCCAACATCGTAGTATGAGAAACATCCCCATATCATGATGATTGCACAGCCATGCTTCACTGTCTTCACAGTGTACTGTGGCTTGAATTCAGTGTTTGGGGGTCATCTGACAAACTGTCTCCGGCCACTAGACCCAAAAAGAACAATCTTACTTGCATTAGTCCACAAAATGTTGCACCATTTCTCTTTAGGCCAGTCAATGTGCTCTTTGGCAAATTGTAACCTCTTCAGCACGTCTTTTTTTCAACAGTGGGACTTTGCGGGGGCTTCTTGCAGATAGCTTGGCTTCACATAGGCATCTTCTAATTGTAACAGAACTCACAGGTAACTTTAGACCTTCTTTGATCTTCCTGGAGCTGATTGTTGGTTGAGTCCTTGCCATTTTGGCTATTCTTCTATCAATTTGAATGGTAGTTTTTTCACTTTCTTCCACGTCTTTCACGTTTTGGTTGCCATTTTAAAGCATTTGCGATCATTTTAGCTGAGCAGCCTTTCATTTTCTGCACTTTTTTATATGTTTTCCCCTCTCCAATCAACTTTTTAATCAAGGTACGCTGTTCTTCTGAACAATGTCTGGAACGACCCATCCATTTTCCTCAGAATTTCAGAGAGAAATGCACTGTAATCAGCATGTACAACATTTGCTGCCTTCCTTCCTTAAATAAGGGCAATAATTGCCACCTGTTTTTCAAAGAATGAATAACCTCACTAATAGAACTCCACACTGCTTTTATTTTGAACATGCCCCTTTCAATTAGTGATTCAATTACACAGAATCAGCAGCATGCATGTCATGACTGTTGGGTCTGTTGGATTTCTATTACTCTACTACACCTGCTAGTAAATTATTTGCCATGTAGAAATATAATTTCTACCAAAAACAGTGATTGATCAGGTTAGCGATGTCTGACTGCTATTATTTTGAACACAACTGTACATACAGTATCTCCCAGAAGTGAGTACACTCCTCACATTTTTTGTAAATATTTTATTCTATCTTTTCATGTGACAACACTGAAGAAATTACACTTTGCTAAAATGTAAGGTAGTGAGTGTATAGCTTGCATAACAATGTAAATTTGCTGTCCGACTCAAAATAACTCAACACACAGCCATTAATGTCTAAACCACTGGCAACAAAAGTGAGTACACCCCTAAGTGAAAATGTCCAAATTAGGCCCAATTATCCATTTCCCCCCTCCCCGATATCATGTGACTCATTAGTGTTACAAAGTCTCAGATGTGAATGGGTAGCAGGTGTGTTACATTTGGTGTTATCGCTCTCACTCTCTCATACTGGTCACTGGAAGTTCAACATGGCACCTCATGGCAAAGAACTCTCTGAGGATCTGAAAAAAAGAATTGCTGTTATACATAAAGATGGCCTAGGCTATAAGAATATTGCCAAGACCCTGAAACTGAGCTGCAGCTCGGTGGCAAAGACCATACAGCGGTTATACAATCTGTACACTCACTACTTTACATTGTAACAAAGTGTAATTTCTTCAGTGTTGTCACATGAAAAGATATAATAAAATATTTACAAAAATGTGAGGGGTGTACTCACTTCTGGGAGATTCTGTATATGTGGGATGTGTTTTCCATCACTATTCTAAAATATTAGTCCTCTGCGACAGTTGCTCCGGCTTCTTCATATTCTTCTAAGTTAACTTAAAGTGGTTGTCAAGGCAGAAGGTTTTTTACTATCCTATGCAGTAAGGTAAAAAAAAAAAAACTTGTGTGAAGCTCCCCCTACAGCCCCCCTCTCTTGCTCCTCATTGGCTCAGGAACTGCAGCAGGAGCCATCGGCTCCCACTGCTTTCAATCAGAGCCAGTGATGGGATGGGGCCAACCCCTGCCCTGTGTGTCTTATGGACATACAAAGGAAGGCTCAGGAGCAAACTCCGAAGGATGGGGAGTGGAGCCAGGAGCTCCGGAGGGGGGCCTGAGAAGAGGAAGGGCATAACCTTTGCACAGAGCAGGTAAGTTTAACATGTTTGTTATTTTAATAAAATAAAAACTGCAGCATGTCAATCACTTTAACACTTTTAGGAGAAGAGGCCTTCATTTCACACTAGCAGAGTGAAGTGAGAGGGTGTGATAACTAAATTCACCTTGATGGCACTTCTTGTACACGTTATGTTCCAAAAGTCTCTTTATCCTGCAGTCGTAGCTGCCCATGTTGTCAAACATTCATCTTTACTGGTTAGGTAGAGAAGGAATGGGCATGTGAAACACATTACTCATAAACTCTTTGTAAATGTAGTAAAAAGAGAGATCAGTATTTGCACTCCTCTGTGCTAGACACATTTAAGTGTATAATGCACTTAACTACTT